ACATTCAGCAAAGTCATTACTTAATAAGGAAGATAAAGCCCAGCCCCTCTAGTACTTCATGGAAGGCAGGGGAGAAGTAATTTAAGATTGTGAAATCTTCAGCTAAAGCTTTGTCTCACTGGCTGTTTCATCTATGGGTTTTACCTGTTCCTATTGTTGGTTTGATTTTTTTCATGATCATTATTATAGTACTTGTGAAATGTGGGAGGTAATTAATAAGGTAGGATGCTGTTTTCTCTAAGCCAGTAAAATATTACTTTTCTTTTTGAAATTATTAAAATGAGGTTTTGAAATATGCCCTTTTGGGAAAAGACTAATTTAGAAATAAAGGTAATTTCACATTTCCGCCAGCCAAAAAAGAACTGTTCTTTTCCATATGCTGGATGAAACCGCAACTGACCTGTTTCCTAAGTAACATCTGAGCTCTAAAAAAATGTTGATCTTTTCCTGAAATCTTTAAAAAATATTTAGGGGATTTTGAACAAAATTTCTTTTTATAAGATAGATATATATATACATATATATATATATACATATATATGTATGTATGTATATTTTTTAAGATTTATTTATTTATGCAGAACTAGGGTACAAGCCAGAGGTGTAGGGGCAGTGAGAGGCTTCACCAGAGACAGAGTGGGGAGCAGAACAGGCAGGTCGACGAAGTACAGTGCTGAGGGGAGCAGCGGGCGGGTCAGAAGAGGTCTGCCACGCCATGTGGTCACCTCCAGGACAGGGGATCGAACCTACACTGGAGTGGCTGCAGCTAGCTTTCAGTGCTGTGTCCTTACCCAGTGTGCCACCAAGGAGGGCCCTGTAAGATATATTCTAAAACGAAAATGTAGCCAATCATTTTAGTGATTTGCTTAAAGTTTAAAATTCATGACTTAAATAAATGTTTCTCAGTTCTTGTCTCTTAAGAACAGTTAATGAAGTATTAGCTATTATCAAATATTTAATATGATATATTTTCACAGCTGCAAGCCTATTTTAAGATATTTATTTTAAAAGATTACTTCAGTGAAAACAACAAATAAGAAAGACTAATAAATCAAAATGTCTTTCTGGAATCTCTCATTGTTGGATTTGTTTCTCTTTTTAGTAGAGTATAATTGAAGCCCCATTTTCTGCTTTACGATTTTTTTAATTGATTAGTGTATATAGATAGATCATATTTATTATGACAATGGTACCAAATTTTAAACTATTTTCTATAGGATTTCCTTTCTAAGTATGTTTCAACCTCTAAAGTTATTTTTCTTAACTTCAAAAACACATTGCCTTTTAAATGTAATAGATTTTCCTTAAATTATGAACAGAAGTATTACTTAGAGTAGAGACTGTCAGGAATTGTCATTTCTGTTTACTTTTTTTTTGCCGCTGAGCTAAGTGATATTTATACTATGATAAATATTGCTTAGACCAAAACATGTTTTCCTCTTGACTTTGAGAATAAGGGTTATATATAGAAAACTATAGTTTGCTATTTTAGGGTATGTGTGCTAGAATAAATAACTTGGGTTAAATTCTACCATTTAGTTGTAGAACTTGAAGTAAGTTCCTGCTAATCTAAATATTATTTTAATTTGTAAAATGTGGATAATAATAGCAGCTAATTTATACACTGTTGTGAAGATTAAATTATAATCAACTTTAAAGCATTTAGCATAACACAATGTGTACTTACAAAATGTCACAACTATAGCATGGAGAAGCACTTAAGGAATAGTAAAAAAAACCTCACAAAAGCACAGTCGTTGGCAAAAAATTGTCAAAAGTTAAAATTTTCAGAGCTCTGAAAATTAATGAACGAATTGCAAACATTGAAGGAGCATTTATTTAAGCAAAATTGCCGAATCTCTTTATGAACAGTTACTTCCTGATTTTTAAGTTGCTTTACTGTCACCCCTCTCTCCCACAATAGTCTTGAAAACCATCAGACTCACAATTGTGGTAGCTGAAAACCTGGAGTCTGACAGCCACTTGAAAAAAACCTTAATGACTTCGAAGTTTCCTAAAAGCCCTCCCCCTAACAAATTGTCAGATTTTGACCTGAACATCAGCTCCCTGCAAAGCTCTAATCACAGGGCTTGTCTTTATTTGACCTGACTCAGAGCTTACACTGTGCAAGAAGTTCTATACCTCCCCTCAACCTTTGCTGAAAGCCGTCTTTAGCGATTGTTTTCACATTACAGCTGCCTAAGGTGGTGGACCAGATGGGGCTAGGCTGGTCACAACAATGTTTATAGGGGTATTGAATCAGTCTTGTTTTCCTGGGAATCTAAGAGGTTGCAAGTATGTGCTGGCTCTCCATATGTCCAAGAATGATGTTTTAAATCCCTAACCTCTCAGCTGTAACTAATGTTGATATTCTGTCCAAGCAGGAAGTAAAAGTTAAGATAAAAGGAAAATATGTCACTGGGCTCTATAAGAAACACAAATAAAAACTTTTCTTCAAAAGTCCCCTACCTATAAGAAAGTGAAAAGACACTAAAACATGAGAACATATTTATAATTCATATATTTTTTAAAAGATTTATTTTTTTATGCATACAGAAGTGGGTCCAGGCCAGAAGTACAGAGGTGGTGAGAGGATTCACAAGAAGCAGAGCGGGAGCAGAACAGGCAGATCAATGAAGTACACTGCCGAGGGGAGGAGTGGGTTGGTCAGGAGAGGTCTGCCGCGCCATGTGGGTCACCTCCCTGACTGGGGATCCAACTCCAGTGATACCCCTGGAGTTAAAAGCACATAGTGCTGTGCTTTAATACATTGCACCACCAGGGCCCTAATTCATATACTTAATAAAGGACTTAAATCTAGAAAATGCAAAAAATGGCTACAACTCAATAATAAATGGACAAATAGGGGGCCTTCCAGGGGTACAAGGAGTTTAGTCTCAGCACTATCAAGCTATCACCAACCACTGCAGCACAAATTGGATTCCCAGCCAGGGGTCAAACTTATATGGTGACACAGACCTCTCCTGTATCATTCACTGCTCCCCTCAGTGGTTTATCTCAGTTGATCTGCCTGTTCCACTCCCCACTCTGCCTCTGGTGAATTCTCTCACCCACTGCATCTCTGACCTACATTCCAGTTCTTGTATGCATGAATAAATAAAATAAATCTTAAAAAATAAATGGATAAACTATTATATTATTTAAATAAAAATAAATAAATCACAAATTCACAAAACAATCATATCTATCGATATGTAAAATCATAAAAAAATGGATAAATAGTGCAATTTAAAAATGGGCAAAGGATTTGAATATGTCTTTCTTGTAAGAAGAGATACAAGGCCAATGGGGAACTGAAAGACACCCAGCATCACTGCTTCTTATGGAGATCAAGCCACTAGGGGAATGATGATTAAAGAAAAGATAAACAGGGTTAACAAGAGATGTGACTACTTTCTAAAACAGTTTGGCAATTGCTCAAAAAGTTGAATATAGAATTACCATTAGACTCTTCCATTCTTACAAATACACTCAAAAGAATAGGAAACATACTCATGTAAAAACTTGTACACAAATGTTCAAAGCATGCTAGTGCTTGATTGCCAAAGTGTGAGAATGACTCATATGACTACCATTTGAGGAATAGATAAGCAAATGTGGTATATTTGCATAATTCAGCCATTAAAAATAATAAAGTACTTATACATGCTACATCCTAGTGAAGCTTGAGAATACTCTAAGAAGCTAAACATCAAGATTGCTTATTGTTTGATTCCATTCATTGGAAGTTTGCAGTGTAGTACACTCAACAGAAACTGAAAATAGAGTAGTGGTTTCCAGGGTCTAGAAGGAAGGGGGAATGAGATGGGACTGCTTGAGGCTAGGGGCTTTTTTAATTGAGGTGATGAAAATATTCTTGAATTAAAACATGGTGTTTATTGCACAATGCAGTGAATACTAAAAAGGTCTGAATTGTACTCTGTCCAAATTTTATGGTATGTGACTTATTTCACAACAGAACTTTTAAAATAAATAAACAAACCCTATATCCTACCATTTAAATAGATCACCTGGCAAAAAAAAGATTTTCTTGCTTAGTTGACAGTTTCTAAAATGAATGTCAGAAGACTGGAATTCTGTTTGTAGAGTTGCTATGCTAGCTGGAGTGCATGTCTTTCAGTTATACAAATGTTAGATCTACATAGAAGAAAAATTCCTTAGAATTAGACTAATTGAATATATTTCAGTGTTTTTATATAAAGTTCTACATTATTTTATGATGTGAGTTATAATACTTGTAAGCATTCAGTGGATGGCTGATAAAGCCCTCTTATTTTTGAAAGATTTATTTTTTTATCTATATATGCATACAAGAGCCAGGGTGCGGGTCAAAGATGGGGGGGGAGGGAAAGGGGGAAGATCAAAAGATTCACCAGAGACAGAGTAAAGAGCAGAGTAGGCAGTTCCACTGAAATACACTGCTGAGGGGGGCTGTGGGCAAGACAGGAGAGGTTCACTGCACCAGACAGGGATGGAACTCATGCCTCAGGGACTGGCAATAACTTGATAATGCTGAGACATTTAATCCTTGCACTAGCAGCGAGGCCCTCGTCTTTTTGCAATGCTTTATCCTTGGTTCTTATTCATGAACAATAAGATACTGCTTTTGTGTGCCTCCTATAGATTTAAATAGATGGTTTCAATATGAACTAAGCTTGTTACAAAGTTTTGTTCTTTTTTTAACTATTTATTTATTTATGCATATAGAGCTGGGGTACAGGCCAGAGGTGGGTGAGGGGCAGTGAGAGGATTCACCAGAGACAGAGTAGGGAGCAGAACAGGCAGATTAATGAACTACACTACTGAGGGGAGCAGTGGGCCAGTCAGTAGTGGTCTGTTGTGCCGTGTGGGTCACCTACAAGGCTGGGGATCCAACTAACACTGAAGTGGCTGCTGCTAGCTTGCAGTGCTGCTCCTTAACCCATTGTGCCACCAGGGAGGGCCTTAGTCCAGTCTGTTTTAACCCACTGTATTCTTAGCTTGCAGAACACAGAGAAGTGCGGCATACCTACAGTCTGGAGTCCCTTTGCCATTGCCCTTTCTATGAAGAAGCCATGCACTTAGTTGAAGAAGGAAAAATTTACTCACGAGTGCTTAGGTACCATTAAGATTCAACAAAATTTTTATGTTCTGTCAATATTGAAAAGATGTGTTTTATATTATGGCTCTAAAGTTAAGCCTATTTTAGTCCAAATTTGTAGTAGGCTTGATCTTGAATGCAGTTTAACAATTGTCTCCTCTGTTTATTATAGGACTGAGATGTTGGAGTGCCTAGGAGACAGTGATTTTCTTGCCAAACTTCACTGTATTCGACAGGCTTTTCAGGTATTTTTTTTTTTAATGATTTCCTCTAGCCACTCAACCCACCTTCATGCTACAGAATACTACTGCATATAAACAGAACAGCTTTTTACCCCTTATTGTCTTTATTCCTAATGGCAAATGCAAGGCCTGTTAAGTTTATTTCTCCTGCCTACGGAATCCGTTCATTCATCATTGTCCTTTCCCATGGCTTCCCACGTAGAGTATATTTTATTAAAACAGGAAATTTGATGCTTGAGATGTATACAAATGTCTGCTTAAAATGAAAAAACAGTCTTATTATCAATTACTAAGTGTTCAAAATTTTTTTCTTTGAACCAGTTGTAAAATCCTAAAATGAGATGCTTGTTTAACAACAAAATTGTCTTTATTTTCCTGCTTTGGACTAGATGGACATTTATTTTGGACTTTTAATATTAAATTGAACAGAATTTAAATACAGATTTATCTTAGAATCTTTTTTTGATTATGGATTTTAAAAACTCATTTGATTTTAGTAAATTAGAACTCTCTCTGCTTTACCTAGAGTACCAGAAAGAGTACCAGATAGAATGCATCAATTCATAGATGTATTCCAAAGACTTTCACATTAATGATAGGTCTTGGTTTCCTTTGTTTGGATATCTTTTCAGGTAATTCTTTCAGAAACAGCCAACAGAATATTCCTTGCTGAGAGTGGAAGGAAAATTCTATCAGCATTAATTGTGAAAGCAAGAAAGGTATATTTGTTTGTTGGTAATTTTTTTATTGTTGTAGGTTTAGTTGTAATGAAACATAAAATACATTAAATTTTAATTAGAAGAGGTTTTTTGTAGACAGTTGCCAAGATTCAAGAATAAATAATCCAGAGAGCATTAATTTCTACTTGGGTTGACTTATTTTCCATGTGTAGAGTCCACTCCATTTTCACCAAGTCGTTTATCATAAATTATTTATTTGCCATAAAGTCTGGGATCATCATGGGAGATTCATCATTAGATCAGCAACTACACCTAACACTATTATTATATCTAATACTTCTCTTACTTCCTTCCATTCTGTTCAATAAAAAGTTTCCAGGAAATAAGTGTAGAGCTCAGAAATCTAGAAATAATGATTAAATTGCCTCTTACCTTCACGGGACTAAAAGAGGCAAAAGTAATGACAAGAACTTCATTAAGACTATAAGGAATCACTTCCCCTTATGCAAATTGTGTCCAGATGGCTGGGGAGGGAAAGACACATATACACACACCAGAAAGAGGCTTCCCGTGAGACATTTGAATACCTGGTTTGCTGCTTGGTTGACCTGTTCATAGAGGAGAGTGGACTGTTGATAGCTAGCCTGTTGCTGTCAGTGTTTGTTTTCAGGCTTGTTAGTAGTTGTTTTGTGTATTGTTTTGTATATTCCTCCTTTGTTTGGTACATATATATTGATGAGTGTTGTATTGCTTGTGTATTGTTCCTTAATCATTACATAATGACCATTCCTGTTCTTGTTACCTTTTTTAGCTGGAAGTCTATTTCCTCTCATATAAGTATGGCTGTCCCTGTCTTAATTTTGGTGGGGCAAGGGGTATCCTGTTTATGTTGTAGAATTGGTTTCTGACCATTTACTTTGAGCCTCTATAAACCTTTGAAGTTCAGGTTCATCTCTCAGAGGCAGTAGAAATTTGCATTTTGTTTTCTGATCCAGCTAGCTACACTCTAACGTTTGACTGGTGAGTTCGGTTCACTTACATTAAGGTTATTATTTGATGTATCAAGATTTGCTGCTGCTGGTTTGCCTTTAATTTCCTAGATCTGTTTCCTTATTTAATTTTGGGGGGATTTTCTTCTCTTGGATAGAAGAGCTCTCCTTTTGACATTTATTGTAGGGGAGGGCTAATGTTTGCACTCTCTATCCTTCATTTTCTGTTTGTCTGGGAAAACTTTTATCTCCCTTGCAGGAAGAAGGAGGGTCTTGCAGGGTATAGTATTTTTGGCTGGCAGTCTTTATCTTCAAGTATTTTGAAATGTCATTCCATTCTCTCCTTGTTTATATGTAAACCTGACTGGAGTACCTTTATAGATTATCTGCTTTCCCCTCCAGCCACCTTCTGTATTCTTTCTTTTATCTTGAACTCTTGGTAGTTGCACCAGTGTGTTAAAAGTCTCTTTACATTTAGCTACTGAAATGTTCTTTTTTTTGTTTTTTAAAGGTTAACTTATTTATGCATACAAGAACTGGGGTACAAGCCAAAGGTGTGGGGTGGTGGTGCTGAGAGGATTCACCAGAGACAGGCAGGGGACAGAATAGGCAAATTGACTGAAATACATTGCTGAGAGGAGCAGTGGACAAGACAGAAGTCTGCGTGCCATATGGGTCACCTCCCTGGCTGGGATTGACTCCTGCAGTGGCTGAGGGTAGCATCGTAGTGTTGTGCTCTAACCATTTTGCCACCAGGGAGGACCCTAATGAAGTGTTCTTTTAGCTTCATAGACTTAAAAAAAAAAAAAAAACACACAGAAGAACTGAGGTGTAGGCCAGAGGGATGTGTGTGTGTGTGTGTATGTGTATGTGTGTGTGTGTGTGTGAAAGAGAGAGACAGAGACATAGACAGAGAGAGGAGAGAGGATTCACCAGAGGCAGAGTGGGGAGCAAAACAGGCAGATTTACTGAAATACACTGCTAAGGGGAGCAGCAGGCGAGATAGGAGAGGTCTGCTGTGCCATATTTGGGTCACCTCCCCAGCCGGGGATTGAACTCAGATTGCAGCAGTGATAGTGCTGAGATTTACTTAATTGCTAGGCCACCAGGGAGGTCCTAGCTTGATAGACTTGTATCTTTGATTTTTTCCTGAGGTTTGGAAAACTTCACTTGATAATTTCTTTGAGTAATATCTCTTTTCTTTCTCTTTCCCCCTGGAATATTTGTGTATCTTGTGTTGTCTTGTGTGATGTCGGATAAATTTTTCAGTATTTCTTCATTATTGTTTCTTGTATTTTTCTTTTCCTTGCACCTGGATCCTTTGCGTATCATCATCTTTGAGGTCACTGACTGGATCTTCCTGTGGTGTATTCTGCTTTCATAGCTTTCTCCAGAACCTTCTGTCTCTAGCTCTGTTGATCTTTTTATATCCTGTATCACATCTAAAGCTTTTGTTTCTATTTTCTGTTAATTAATTGTATTTCTCAGATCATTCTGTTTTCTGAATGTCCTTCCAATTCTTTGGATTTTTTTTTATATGGCAATTTTGAACTCTGTATTTGATAAATAAAATCTTCCATGTGTTTGTGGTTGAATTCTGGAAGAGTGTCCTGTCCTTGTGATGCCAAGGCATCTCCCTCTTGAGGTTCCAGATGCCCATTTTGTTGCTTTCAGCTTATTATTTTTAAGTGACTATAACAGTAACATAAAGATTTGCAGTTTGTCTTCAAATTTTCATCTGAAGAACTGACCTAAATAGGCATACATATTTGAGTAGTAAGCAGTTTGCATATGACATTTTACTAATAGTCTTAATCTTTGCTTCTGCAAAATGTTGGCAGAACAAAGTACTAAACTAAAATGAATATGGCATAGTTTGAAAATATATTTTAATTCCATTACCTAAAAGAATGACAAGCTAACAAACTTACTGAAGAGTAATTCATTTACTTTGTAGACTTTAAACTAATTATAAAGTTGAGTTTGAGTTTTCAAATATGTTTTCTTCTACAGAATCCAAAGAAGTTTGAAGATGTTTTTGATGAGATGATCTATTTTTTGGAGCAGACAGATCACTGGGATAGTACTGAAATGGAACTTGCGGCTAGAGGAGTAAGTTAAAATTTTTCATAGTATTTGTTCCATTTAGTTATTTACATATAATGTTACACAATTTGAAGCTCAATGTCCCTATCTGTGTTAAGTGGCAGTAAAACCAACTGTGTGATGGTGATTATGAGAAAGTCATTACCAGTATTCATACATTGGGGCAACAGTTGAAAATATTATTTTTTTTTAAGAAAAACCTTTTCTTCTTCCCTTTCTTTCTTCCTTCATTCTATCTTAATTTTCTTCCTTCCATCCAGAAGTCAATTATCAGCCATTAGCAGGATGGTAATGATGATCTATGCAAGATGCAGATGGGATAGTAAGGGCGGGGAATTAACTACATACATAGGGTCAAACAAATAATTAAATATACTAAGGATAATCAGAGCCAGGTTTCTCACTGTCAGAGAAGGAAAGTATAAAAAGCAGGGATTGGAATTGTAGCTGTCAGTGTGAACTCATAGTTTACAGTATGTATCTATACGGAAATCAATACAGATAGAAAGTTTTGCATATACCTAAAGATAAATATACTTCCTATCTCTGCTCTTCAAGAGGAATTAAGAGCAACAGTGCCTCAAAAGACACTAACCCTCCCTTATAGATCTTGTCTTCTAAGTACCTCTCTCCACTAAAAAGGAACTAAGGCTTCCTGGAGAAATGGCTATTGTCTGCTTTAGGAAGAGTCGAGTACATGATGAGTCTAGAATATGCTGCTGTAATAGAAACTGAAAGAGTTTGTAAGGGGGGCCTCCCTGGTGGGCTCCCCTCAGCAGTGCATTTCAGTAAAACCCACCTGTTCTGCTCCCCATTCTGCCTTTGGTGAAGCTTCTCTCCCCTGTACCTCTGGCCGACACTTCAGTTATTGTATGCTAATAAAAATAAATCTTTTTAAAAATTACAAAGTAGTTGTTATGGCCTAGTTAGCCTTTCTAGACAAAGAACGTAGTATCTACAAAGACAATGGAGCATGTTTTTCCTTCTCATTTGTCCCCTCTCATGGTGAAGAAGTCTTTAGTCATGTCATGCAGACCAGAAACCTGGGACTCACCTTCGTGATCTCCTCCTACTTCATCATATATCTATCTCGAAGTCTTAATAATTCTAACTCCTAAATATCTTTCCATTTCTTCACTTTTCTTTCTACCTGCCAGCCACATCTTAATCTGAGTAGCTGTTGTCTTTTCCTGGACTACTCTAGAGTGTTCATATTGCCTGACTCCCTGCCTACTCTGCCCTCCCCGACCTCCGGACATACACTCCTGTCACTGTCACATTGCTGCCAAAACTGTCCTTAGGAAACACAAATCTGATCCTCTTTCTCCTGTCCACCTCATTCCTGTGCCTACCCCTCAGCTACTGGATGATAAAATGGACAATAAACTCTGCAGAACCTGGCCTTCCTCCTTGTATCTAGTTACTCACCTTGTGCTTTCTGCTACAGAGAGCGGAGCACACTTTCAGTGATTTTCCTTGACTCAGCACCACTGTGTTCCTTCTTACCTTTAAGTTTTTGAAAGATTTCCTACATCTGGGATATCACATGCCTGAAAAAAGCCTCTTCCATCCAGTCTAAATTAGCATCTCCATCCTCAACTCTCATGATACCATCTACTTTTTCCTTTGCAGTGCACCTCTTAGCTTAGTTATATATTTGTGAAATTATTTGTTATTGTCTGTTTTCCTGACTGCATTTTTTTTTTTTAATTTTTTACGTCATTCTTCATTTTGGGCATTTTTTCATTTTGGTTGTAATCCACCGTTTCACCCACCACCACCTGTGTGCCATCACCATTGTCCTGTACACTTGTCTCACCCCAGTTTTGATCCCAATCCCCTCTCACTCCCATAAAAGTTTTCCTTTTTTCTTTATTTCAATTACTTTTTTTTCCCCTGATCCCTTACACTCCTGCTATAAGTGAAACCATCTGATATTTTTCTTTCTGGCTTATTTCACTAAGCATTATCCCTTCCAGTTCCATCCACATTGCTGCAGAAGTCATGGGTTTATCTTTTTAATTGCTGAGTAATATTCCATTGTGATTATGTACCACATCTTTTTAATCCACTCATCCACTTTTGGGCATTTGGGTTGTTTCCATGTCTTTCCTATTGTAAATAAAGTGGCAATAAACATGGTGGTGCAGGAGTCTTTCTGAATCAGTGATTTTGTGTCTTTTGGATAGATATCTAGGAGTAGGATTGCTGGGTCATATGGAAGCTCCATTTTTAGCAGTTTGAGAAACCTCCAAACAGCTTTCATAGTTTGCAGTCCCACCAGCAGTACAGGAGAGTTCCTTTTTCTCCACATCTTCGCCAACATTTATTGTTACTAGTTGTTTTAATATGTGCCATTCTCACTGGCGTGAGATGGTTTCTCATTGCAGTTTTAATTTGCATTTCCCTCATTCCAAGTGATGTTGAACATTTTTCCATATGCTTTTTGATGTCTTCATTTCCTCTTTGGAGATGTGTTTTTTAGCTCTTCAGCCCTTTTTTTTTTTTAAGATTTATTTATTTATGCATACAAGAACTGGGGTACAGGCCAGAGATGTAGGGAGTGAGAGGATTAACCAGACAGAGTGGGAAGTAGAACAGGCAGATTGACTGAAATACACTGCTGAGGGAGCAGCAGATGAAACAGGAAAGATCTGCTGCACCATGTGGGTCAGCTAACTGGCTGGCTGGGTATCAAATTTGTGTAGCTGCAGAAGCTTGACAGTGCTATGTCTTTAACCCCTGTGCCACATGGGAGGCCCCTGGTGGTGAGTTTTCTTATCTGTTCCTCCTCTTCCTCTATTTTTGTCTGAAATATATGATACAACTAATAAGATTCTGGTATTACAAAGTGTAAAGCTCTGTTTCAGATTTTATCTCAACTCTCTGTAATAATAATTTCTGTTTTAATTCTTATAACCTAATGCAGGTGAAAAATCTAAATTTTTATGATGTTGTCCTGGATTTTATATTAATGGATTCCTTTGAAGATTTGGAAAATCCACCTACATCCATACAAAATGTAGTAAATAATCGCTGGCTAAACTCCTCTTTCAAAGAAACTGTAAGTGATGGTTTACCTCTCAACTATTTAAACTTGATGAAAAATAGTCAGAACTTGAAAGGCTAGTAAGATTTACATATATATCTGGTTGAATAATGACTAATTTGGAAACTAAGCTTATCCTTTGATAATCAGATCAGATATGTATGATACATAACATCTTCAGTTGAAATTCATCTTTTGACAGTTTTACCAACCCCTGTTCTGACTAGTAGAATCCAGTAGTTTCTTCAGATTTCCAAACTAACAAACCAAAAATGATGTTTCTAACTAGCTCAGGTCTAACAAAAATTGTAACTGAATTAATTCTACAACTAAACTGAAATACTGCAATTGAACTGAAAAAAAAAATGACATATGAAAATGGAGGAGATTATGTTCAATGAAACAAGTCTGAAGAAGAAAGACAAATACCAGATAATCTGATTCAGAAATGGAACATAGAAAAACAAAGCAAAGAAACTGACAAACTAAATCAAAACAAACCCTGGTAATAAGACTGCATAATTGAGACTGCCAGGTAGAAGTGGAGATACTTGGCCCAAGGAGGAGAGGGGTTCCAGTGATCTGTGGTAAAGTACTATGGGAGCTTCTGTGTTGGGTGTGGTGTGGTGACATCCATCTGTGGAGGTGTGAACCTACCCCCCTAAATCATATACAGTATTGTAAACTAGTGTTACTTCAATTAAAGAAACGAGACAATAGAGAAATATTTTTAAATGGAAAATTTGGAGATTTCTATTCCCAAATATTATTTTAAAAGTATGGGAGAACAAAATACATATGTCTAAAAAGAAAGCAATTTTGGACTACATTCTATACTTCAAATGTTTCCTGTTTCTATTGTTTTTCATACTTAGCTCTCTATTTTTTGTTACTCCTTAAGTGTCTACCTGGAAGTAAGTGGTAGATATTTGTGATGAAGTTTGGATCCCTTTTAAAACATGTGCTAATTGGCTATATTTCACAATTACTTTGAAAATTGCTGGTGTTAATTTTTTTTAATATTTATTTATTTATACAGAACTGGGGTACAAGCCAGAGGTGCAAGGGTGGTGAGAGGATTCACCAGAGACAGAGTGGGGGGCAGAACAGGCAGATCCATGAAATACACTGCTGAGGGGAGCAGTGGGTGGGTCAGGAAAGGTCTGCTGCGCCATCTGGGTCACCTCCAGGGTGGGGATCGAACTCATGCTGAAGTGGCGTTAGCTTCTTACTGCTCTGCTTTAATCCACTGTGCCAACAGGTGTTAAATTTTAAAGTACCTTTAGGAAATCTGCTTTCCCTCAAATTTATTTTAGCCATGAAAGGCATGTTTTCCATTTCTACAACTGACTTGGTGAAATGAATGAATAGAGTAGGGCCAGGTATTTTCATGGTCCACTTTGGTATCTTTGTCCCTATCATTATATTTGTATTTCTTAGTTCTGTATTTGAACAAAACTGTTTAGCTCTGCCTACAACTATCAATGTTTCCAGCAGTGCTATTCTTTAAAGGAAAAAATAAATTCTTATTTTGTCTTCAGTGTTCAGCATAAAATAATTATATATCTATGTATACATTTTCATTCTTTTCCTATGAGAACAGAATTTTGAGAACTCAAGTTGAAGTACAATTACTGAGTAATCATCCTTGGTACCAGAGTTCAACCTTTTCTTTCATTCACTTTGTATTTAATTTTAAAATTTATAAAGCCAAATCCCTCTTCATTAGTAGTTACAAACAGTAGAAAGAACATAGACTATTTCTTATTAAAATACGTGTTTTGAACATTTTTTACCCTAATCTTTGAATCTCTAATAAAAGTTGCTACAAATAGAAAAAACAAAATTATCTAGTTTATAATGTAAATCTTGCCTTTTCTCTAATACATTAGGCTGTGGCTTCAAGTTGTTGGTCAGTGCTGAAACAGAAGAGGCAACAGATGAAGGTAAGAGTTGTTATGCTTTAGACATCTTTGTTAAATAATTGGAGGTGCCCAGCAAAATACCATCTGAGTCCTTCTCAAGTGGGGATGGCAGCTGATAGAGACCATTGCTTAAGCTAAATGAGTAACTTATTGGTACTAGAACAACTTCTCATTTTTAAAATTCCTTCTTTCTCTTCCTTACCTGGATAGTTCATTCTGGCATAGTTCAATATTGCAAGTACTGAAGCATGCATGGGATTTCTGCTAAGGGTTGAAAACAGCTCTGACAGAGCTTTTGTTTTTAATATTAAGATTTAAAACAGTTGTTTAATATAGTAGGTTCCACCTTATGTAATCAATTGAGAAATTATTTGATTTTGATAACTGCTTCGTTCCGCTGAGCGCACCTGCCCCAAAAGGTCTCAAAATGTCTATTCTGTCTCCAGCTCCACATCCTCCAGCACACCTCACCCTCCAAACATGCTCTCACCACACAGTCCTGTGATAAAGGCCATGGACTCTACCACAGACCATGCACCTTAGCACCTTGGGCAAAGTGTTTAACCTCTCTATGCCTTAGTTTTTTCACCCCTAAAAAAGAGCATCACATTTACTTCATGGGCTTTTTTGAGGATTAAATATAAAGAGTATAGAACAGAACATGGCACAGTGTATTATGCAAATGTTGGATATTGTTATTATTTGCTCTTGACTGTTGTATTTTATATTATCTGTATTTTAAAATCCAATCCTTGTTACTTTTAGTATTGGCAAGTGCATTGTTTCCAAAGCAGAACATTATAGAGTATCTTCAGGTATTTATTAAATGTAATTCCACAGACCAATATACCTGAATAATTTTTGTTTAAAATGATGCCAGAGACCATGTGTTTAAGCAAGTTCGCCAAATGATTATAAACTAATTTTTGAGAACCAGTTTCAGATTAGAGAACAGACTTATGGAGTAGGGTTTAACTGTCGCACTAACTAGCACCATCGTGGGTAAGTTACAAGCTATCAGCTGATCCATCAGTTTTCCTACTTGCAAAATGGAGGTAATTCCTATTTCATACACTTGTAAGGATAACGTGAGATAATTATCATAAAGCTTAATTTAAACATAAAATTTTAAAAATAAATGTAGAAAGTTTAATAAGTGATGGAACTGGAAAAGATCATGCTTAGTGAAATATTCCAGAAAGAAAAGGAAAAATACCATAGCAGGAATATAATGGAACAGGAGAGAAAATAATGATAATGATGAACAGCTATATACCAAAGACATTTTGTGGGGGTTAGTGGGGAATGGGATCAAAAACAGCAGGGGGAGGAAAAGGTACTGGACTATGGTGATGGCACATGGATGATTTGATGATGGAAAGCCCAAGGGGATTGCAAATGTGATGGGAAAATGCACAAAATGATGTGAAAATAAACATGTGTGTGTGTGTGTATGTATGTGTGTGTGTGTGTGTGTGTGTATAAAGTTTAAGTGGTAGTTTCTGTCTGTATTTCTTATTTTTATCACAAATTTTGTGCCCTAAACTAGTCTTCTTTCTGTATCCAAGATACCTGTATATCTTACTTTTGGGGGATTATTTGCTATACCTGAAATAACATATTCTGTCCTCTGTACTTGAATCTTTCCTATGATAGAGTTCAGTTCATATTACTCCTTGGTGAAGCTTGTCTTTTCTGACTCAGCCCATGCTAGCTTCTTACCTATCTGAAAGCCGAATACACTTAAAATCTGCATGGGATTAAAAGGTTTTAATATATGCAGAGAATAATAACTTCAGTGTGTTCTGAGAACTTCTTGGCATTCACTAACAAACTATGTGTGATTTAACACAGGTTCTTAATTCCTCTGAATATCAGTTTTTACTTGTTAAGACAATGTTAACATAGTCTATTTCAGGATCATTTTATTAGTGTTAGGTTCTATTTATCTGGAATATAATGAGTACTCATTAAATGGTAACTGCTCTTGGAGTGTATTCATTAAGTTGAAGTTTAGGTAGAAGATATCTTGGAGTCTGCAAAACAGAAAATAGTCCCTTCAAGAGTCAGGGCCTTAAGACATAGTTATCCCTAGTTAGTGCTGTGTGGCAAATCCCACAGGATGTTATTTAACAAGGCCAATTCAGAAAGTTAGTAATAAATTCAGAGAAATACCTAGATTACAAGTGTATGTGTCCTTGCTCTTTAACAAGAAGAGGCAGTTACAAAATTAAAATACATCAGCAATATCTAGTTTCTAAGAAACTTAGAAGTTAGTAACATACTTTTGTACTTAATTATTTAAAAATCATTTCATTCTTTTTTTAGATGATCTGATTAAGTGATTGAGTAAAGCTTTTGAATAACTGTAACTATAGTAGTCTCATTAATCCTAAAAATCATACTGCTAAGGAACATTTTAACATTCTTGTTATTGCTTGGTTAGAGCAGTTGATATGTTTTTTTTTTATGAAGTAATTTTATGAGGTGAAAATGTCTTTAAGAAATAACATTTCTCAGCACGTTGGAAACTGTAGGCTAGGGTATGAATTCTATAGTCTATATAAAATATTCTATGACTCCAAAAGTTACTTGTAAGTCTTATTATTAAGCTGTATGTCACTGATACTTTTGATCTGCCCTTAAGAAAGAGCTGATTATTTGATGGGTGACAATTCCATTTTCTCTACTGGAGAAAGAAAATGCAAACAGATAATAAGGACTTGTTCTCTTTTATTTTCTAACAGATCCCAGACGGATTTTTTGCCCACTTTTATGCCATCTGTGAACACATCAGTCCTGTTCTAGCCTGGGGCTTTTTGGGTCCTAGAAATTCTCTCTATGATTTATGTTGCTTCTTTAAGGTATGTGCAGTCATTGAATCATTTCTTTTTTCAAAATTGAAAAGTGAGTAAAGTTTTATTTTGTTTCTGTGGAAGAAAGAATGTAACTTATAAGTAAATTATGAAAGTCATCTAAATTTAGTGTTTAAGTGTCAGTGGGACAGTATTATATAGATGCAGTGCTTTGTCTTAGAAAAGATCCAACAAGCCCATTCACCTTATGTTATTACCGTCAAATATCTGTAGGTGATTTCTTCACGCCTGGGCACTTTTGAAATTGAAAACAAACAGTATCTGTGTTTATTACACATGTGAAAATTTGGAAATAAATTCTGATCCCATATACTATGAATGATAAAATCCTAGTTGTGAGAACTAACTTTGAAGTTTAAACTTATTTCCCAACATCAACAGCTTAAGTTTGCCAAAATACAAATCACAGCTCACTGCAGAAATTCCTGCCTGGCATGCTGCCAAGAAAAGTCTCACTAATAATCTTGAATTCAGACTGAGTTTCAACAAAAAAAAATAAAAGTAAATCAAGTATAAATTTGGTAATATTTAATGTTTGGGATGTTTCACTATATCCTTCATTTAAAAAAAAAAACCCTTTTGTTTATGGACTATTGGCATAGCATTTATGTAAATGCTTTTTAAAATGTTTATTTTACTGTCATTCAAAACTCATTAACTTTTGACTAGTTTACTTGACCTCCCAAATGTCAGATATGTGTTTAGTGGGAAAATTTAGGATGAGGAGTTATGTTTGTTATTAATGAACTGTCTGATTCTGCTTGTCCTTTCTTCATCTATAAAATGGTGTTTCAGGAGGCATGACAGGTTGATTGCTAATGGCCTTTCCAGATGTAAACCCTAGTGAATCTAAATTGCCCCTTCATAGTACATCTTAACATTTGATTTCTACGGTATAGAAATTTAATAGTCTTGGTTCTTTGTTGTTGTTCTTTGGCATTACTTTTTTCCCCCCAACTTGACATAACAGCTTGAGATTAACACTTAGTACAACTTACTTAAAATGAATTTCAGATAAGCATTAACTTACTGAAATGAAATATCTTTCCCAATCTTCCACTGATATGAGACCTGAAATTATTTTTTTATTTTTCACATGACTTCAGTTTTTTTATTTATAAAAAAAATACACTTAAGATTTATAAATTAATATTACTGGAGAACACTTAAGGTCTCTCTTAAAGTAATTTCAGAGCTCAGATACCACTAAAAACTTCACTTATTGGGGAAGATCTAATTTTAGGGTTTACAGACAATTCCCATAGATTTTTTTTTTTACTACTATCACATCAACCCCGAGTAGTAAAAAGGACGAGTGGTATTATATCTTATTTTACAAAAAGAGAAAAGGAAACCCAATAAAAGGTTAATCACTTGTTCAAGATCCCTTCGTAATGAGATATGAAACTAGCAATGGATCTTGAGCTTTCTGACTCCCAAGTCATTGCTTATTAAAATACAAATAACTACTTAGACAATATAATTTTAGTCTAATAAAATACCTTTTTCTTTTTGGCGTGTATTTTCAGAATCAAGTTCTCTTCTTTCTCAAAGACATTTTTGATTTCGAGAAGGTGCGCTATTCCAGTATAGAGACTTTGACTGAAGATCTCATGCAGTTACTCATTCGTCGCACTGAACTTTTAATCGCCTATCTTGGAGCTGATGCACTGAGGCACACAAGTAGTTGTATAAGTAGTCATGGTCATGTTATGCCAAGTGGCCTAGTGGAAGCCAAAGTACAATAAGTACCATTAGAATCATATAATTTGAATGTGCTATGAAATATTTTAAGATAACTTGATTTGTAACATGTTATACAATCTATAGAATTGGTGTTAATGGACTCAGGGAGGGGGATAAATTCTAATAAAGAACGAAGGACTCCACTATACTTACACAGAATTCTTTCACAGATTCCCTGTGTAGTGTCTCCAAAGCGACTTTTTACAATTGTTAGGTAGTGATTTAAATGGTGAAATGTGGGTTTTACAGAAATACTGCTTGATTTGAAGCCAGTACTTGGGAATTAATTGAGTCGTTGTCTTGAAGCAATGTGAAATGTCTGGTATCGTTCTCAAAAACTCTGCTATAAAAATACCTTTGCACCTTGAAAATGTACACTTTAGCAAAGACCTTTGTGGCTCACACATACAAGAATATATTACCCCTAGTGTCAACAAACTTAACTCTGCCTGAAAATTTATTTTTGACTATAAAGTTATTCATTTGTCTAACCAAGTTTAGGTGATAGTGGCATTTTATATGTAGTGCTAACTTTATTGCTTGTGCATTTGTTTATGTATTTGAATCAAAGATATTGTAATGGCTCAGTATAGTTATAAACATTTAAGTGAATTGACACTGAGAAGTTTACATGTTACAAGTTTACATTAGATTTGCTGAAGTTTCCAAAATGAGTTACTGTGTTGGAACTGTAAGTTACAATAGAGACACTCACAGATTAGAGCATTTTTCCCTTTACTAAATATAGATTTTAAAAATAAGTTATTAACTATGACAGGCAATTAAAATTTTTTCTGTGTAGTTTTGGGACTGTCTCCCAACATCTGAAAGTATTAACCTTAGTAGAGTAAAATTGTTTCTCCGTTTTCCTTCTGCAAAACTGGCTTTAACTTATTCACACAGATAACTTAGCATACTGGAAATTTTGTCATAGTAAGCCCATATTTTTTAAATATTCATACTTTGAATCTTACTGAGGTTTTGAAGAAGGTTCTTTCCTCTAAATATAAAGCAAACTATTTTTAAATGGTATGGGAATGTATTTCATGTCTTTTATGGTAATTATGTGAACAAAAGGGTTGTTCATATGAGTGAGGTTATTCAGAATATACTAGATATTTTCAGAATTGTATTAGCTTTGTGTCTAAATCATATAACACTTATTTGGAGTGTACCGATAAGTTAAACTTGTTGATTTTGTTCCTAAAGTGGGCTGTGTTTATTCCGGGAGGGAGTTTACAGAAGGAGCTATATTTTCTAAAAATGCATTTTTAGATTAAAGTGCCTAGTTGCTGATTTATGAATCAAAAGTGAAAAATGGGGAGGAAGAAGGAAGCATAATGTTTTAAGTTTGTGTATGAGCCACACTTATGTAATAGTTACAAAATATGAGATTCAGAATCTCTATGTTGCTTACATGTACTGTGTTCCATAATTTGTAGATTATAGCATTGTACAATATGAAGTATTATGCTAATAAGTTTTGAGTATGTAACTCCTTGATTTTTCTTATATATATATATTCTTAATTTAACAATTAACTATTCATAGTTCTAATTATTGGTGGAAGAGTATTATTAGAAGTATCAGAGCTAAGAAATCCTTTATGTAATGTTTTACCTTTTATTTTATATCTTGTATTTATTGGGTTTTTTTTAGCATCTTTTTGAGGTACACTGGTTTGTGTAATTCACACACACACATACATATGCACATATACATACATACACACATGCCCATTACCATGTTGGCAAGACAGTTATTGCTTATATTTTCCTGTTTTGGAGGCTCAATATTTTAAGCTATAGTTTTATAAACAAAGCTTAAGTCCATTTAATTATTTATTTAAGGAAAATATTGTTTGATCTATTTTTGAAGAATTACACTATTTAATAATGCTGCTACTACATAAGATATCTCTGGGGGATTTCTTCAGGTAAGATGAGTGGCTTTCCAGAAGGCGTTTTTTCTCTTTTACATTTCACCTTAAGGGGAAAAAATCGAAAAAGATATTCAAGAGGTTGTTTTGTCAAAAATCAGCGCTTGAGTTTGATAAATTTCTGGTTAGTTCAGTAACTAACTACTTTAGCAAGAAGCTTTCTTTGTGACCTTTGACAAGAGACAAGAATGATGAAAAAGAACTGCAAGGCAATAAAAAGAGGGAAAAAACCTCCCTATTGGTAAGGAAATGCCTTGATCTTTTTTTAAAAAAAATCTTTAAAATGTTTCTGACCATAGAAGATTGCTTAAAACATGTACCAATTTTACTTTTCCTTGAATTCAGTTAAATAGCTAATGCAGTATTTTAAAAATATATATTAACCTACTCTAGAACTTTTTAGTGTAAATCCTTAGCATTTAAAATTGTCACTGTCACTTGAATCCTGCCATCTACTTCCCTAAGGAAATTTAAGTGGGCCTTGAATTAGTCTTGAGAAAATGATGTTTTTTCTTGTTTTCTGAGAAAAAAATTCAGGTGGTAACAATTATTTCTACTTTGGTTTCTCGACCTTTTTGTTAACTAAAGTTTTCTAAGGCTACCAATTAAATGTCAACTAGGAAAATAATTATTAATTAGAGATTAATTAAATATCAGACTAGCTTTTAAGAAAGAAGCCAAGTTTTTCATACTGTTAATAGTTAGCTCCAAAGAGGTTTCTTTTTCAAAAAGGTATACTCTTTGTTTGCACCCATTTACTATAATACTATTAATTTGTTGAAATTGAATTTACCAAAAAAATTTACAAACTTTTTCTTGCCTTAAAATATAAAATCTATTTAAATTATCAAAGAAGTGATTATTTACATTACAAAAGAGTTCTTTATCATACCTTTAAACCTATGAAATAGGAATGCCAAAGTTACTCTTCATATACTTTTCTGTGACCTTTCATAATCACAATTATGTTACTAACATAATTTACATTAATGTAAACACATACTAGGAAATTATTTCAAATATACATTTCAAAGTGATTATAAAAATTAAACTGAATACAAATCTTTGGATTTTTGCTTGGATTAATCAAATTTAGAAATATCTCTGTATGTGAGACTTAAAAATTGTATAATCTGTGATTAATAGAAATAAGGACATCTTTTCTTTGTTCCTAATGATTATGTTTTTACCTTGCTTAGTTTGAGAACTACCATGTATTAGCTTTACTTGACTGTTAACAATAGACATGACTTACTTCCTAAATGTAAGGATTGCATTTATTTATGTAAAAGTTGAACATTACCATAGCAGAAAAAAAAAATCAATTTATCCAAAACAAGCACTGTAACATGGATGTATTTCAAAGTACTGCCAAATAAAAAAGAAAAAAGTGATGGTGTAGCTTGCTATTATATTGACTATTTTACACAGCACAGTATGTTTAGGGTCACACTTGCCTCATCAAACCTTACTCTATGAAAGCTTCCAGGTTCCATAAGATTGTATATACAGACCTAATGAACACACAGCTGCAGGGCCACTGAGCTCAAGAGCAGAAGTGTGTTTCATTTATGTGCAAAGCTAGGAGAAAAGAGTTTTGTGATGAAAGAAGTTAAAGTACTTGTGTTGACTAATAAAGTAATCATGCCATGAAACATTAAATTTACCACATTGATATACATCTCTCCATCTCTATTCATCTTCCTTGGGAAGGGTTCAGATATATTTAATCAAAGAGGGGGAGGCTGAGTGGATTCCACTGAGATGGCTAGAAGCATTTAACCTGGATACAAAAACATTATTCTTAATTTGAGACCTTTAGCAGAGGTTTATTTTAGAATAGAGGTTTAGAAGAGATTTATTTTAGTTTTTTTTTTTAAGATTTATTTTTATTTATTTAAGCATACAAGAATGGGAGTGTAGGCCAGAGGTGTGTGTGAAATGGGGAGTGCGCGTATTCACCAGCAACAGAGAGGTGAGTAGAACAAGAAGATGTACTGAAATCTACTGCTGAGGGGACCAGTGGGTGAGACAGAAGAAGGCTTATGTGCCATGTGGGGCAGCTCCCTGGCTTGGGATAGAGCTCATGCTGCAGTGGCTGGTAATAGCTTGATAGCGCTGAGACTTTAAAGTCTGTGCCATGAAGTCTAGGCCCCTACAAGAGGTTAAGCTTAAAATATATGTGGTATAGGCAAATGTATATAATTGTGTGTGTATATATATATATAAAAGATTTATTTATTTATGCATACAAGAGCTGCGGTGTAGGCCAGAGGTGCAGGGTGGTTGAGAGGATTCACCAGAGACAGAGTGGGGAGCAGAACAGGGAGATCGACTGAAATACACTGCTGAGGGGAGCAGCAGGTGAGACAGGAGAAGTCTGCTGTGCCATATGAGTAGCTTACTGGCCAGGGTCAAACTCGTGCCTCAGTGGCTGCTGATTGCTTCATAATGCTGTGACTTAACCCCTTGAGCTGGCCAGGAGAGGTCTACCACGCCACGTGGGTCACCTCTGGGGCAGGCGGGAATCGAACTCATGCGGAAGTGGTTTAAGCTTCTTTGTGCTGTGCCTTAACCCGCTTTACCACCAGGGAGGGCCCATCTCTTTCTGATTTTTATGTAAGTTTAAAATCCTTCCCTACAAGCACCTGGTGCCCCATTATTATATTATGTGTAGACCTTTCCTGGAAATTAAAAAACAAAACAAAAACGTACTTGGTTTATCCGCTGCCTTATCCTCAAACTGTCTCTGACTTTGATTTTTAAGGTTATGTTTCTTCTTATGTGCTGTATTCTGTGACACTTTACCCTGCTACTACTTCTTTACTCTCTTTTTCCTTGTGCTACTGATATCTTTGATCAAGCTGCACAGCTCTTTTGTCTGCTGAGGTTCTTCCCCTCTTTGCCCTCCCACTGTACATCTGAAGAATGAAAACTCTTAAGTAACTTCCATCCATCATTTGGGCAGAAAAAGACTGAATTCCAGTACAGGGGGAGAAAAGTAAGCTTTCCTTGTATGACACTTTTTATTCTTTACATAAAAGCTACAGCAAAGCAACTGGTACATCAAATACCTCAAAGTATTACTTTTATCTCTTCATGCGTGTGAAAAATGCCTTTCACAAAGGACGTTTATATATAGGAGATTACAGAACTTTTATAATTTGCTATGTTTGAAATAATACTTGAATATGGAGAAGCATTTTGACATTTGAAAGTACTTGAAATATATGACTTCCAGAATGGCTTTTATTTGATAACATGTTGTGATAAAATAAGCCCAGGAACTTTAAAAAGAAATAAGTGCTTAATGTGGTAGATGATAATTTTAAAAAGTGGGTCAAAGCAGGGGTAATTGATATCAACTGCTCATACTACAAAGTATTCCAAAAATTAGCAGCTTGAAAAGACAAAGATCATTCTCACAGTTTCTGAGGGTTGGGGAATGGTTAATTTCAGTAGTTTTTACTTAGGGTCTCTCCTGAAATTGCAGTCATCTGAAGGCCTGAGCGGGGCTAGATTTGCTTCCCAAATTTGCCTGCTAACATGACTCGTGGGAAGAAGAGTAGAGGATTTTAGATTCTTACTCTGTGGGCCCTTTAACAGTGCTACCTGAGTATCTTTGAAACTTGGCAGTTGGAATCCTCTAGATTAGTAACCTAAGGGATACTGAGGCAGAAGACAGTATCCTTTATAACCCAAACTTGGAAGTGACGTGATCACTTGTGCCATATTCTATTGGTCATATAGACTAAACTTGACACAATGTAGAAGGATATTACATAAGAGGCTGAAACCATGACAGGGCACCACAATAAATTATACAAAGTAATGCAGGTGTTTAATTTTAAATAAGTATGTGTGTAGTTAGCCAATTTTTGGACCTAGTTTTGTGGGCCATTATTTTGATTTTGAATCCACTCAGTTTGCTAAGATACCTTTATTGTATAAACTACACTTTTAATCATCTGAGATTTCTAGGTCCCCCTTACTGGAAAAGACAAAATTTACGTGAAAAGAAATGAATGCCAATTGTCCCTAGATATTTACAATTTTGAAATTGATCTTTTATATTTGTTCCTCCACACTTAGTTTGTAAGCATCTTTGTTTTTACTGAATCTGTTCAAAGTACTCAACTAATATAAACATTATAACTTTTTGATTTTACATTTCTGCCCTTTTGCAGTGTTTATATAACTTCAATAATACTCAACTTATTGTCTAAGAACAAAACACAACTGATTCATTATAAATGTATGACTTTTACACATTGACAAATCTTGGATTCCTAATAGTCCTCTCAAAATCCAACATGTCTAACTAAGCTCCTGACCACATGTACCTCTCAGTTTTTATCCTAGCAAATAATAACTCTCTTCTTCTAGTACTTATACCAAAGACTTCTTTTCCTCACATTTCACATTCAGTCTGTTAGCAAAATTCTACCACTTCTACTTTAATAAATGTACCAAATATTATCAGTTTGTTAATATTTAAACAATGGCAGGTATCCGTGGTGGCCTAGGGATTAAGTCTCAGTGCTACCACCACTACGACTTGAAGTTTTATCCCCGGCCAGGGAGCTGAACCAGAGTCACAGCACACCTCCCATGTCTCACCCACAGCTGCCCTCAACAGTGTACTTCAGCAGATCTACCTGTTCCGCTCTCTTACTGTCTCTGGTGAATCCTCTCACACACATCCCTCCCCCACCTCCCTACCTCTGGCATACATTCCAGTTCTTCAATGCAGAAATAAATAAATAAAATCTTTTTTCATTCGCCAATGACCACTCACTTTACTCAGGAAAAGCCAAAGCACTTCCAATGATATACAAAAGGTCCCTCTACTCTTCTCTAATTCTTTTGTAACAGGGTGGTCCCTAGGGAAAGGGGAAGTTCCAGGTTCCCTGCCCCACCCAGGAGGGTGGAGCTGAGGAGAGAAAAAGGAGAGAAGAGAAGGAATCAGGAGAAGAAAAGAAGGAAGCTGGATGGAGAACAGGAAGCAGACCTGAGGAAGCCACATGGAGCAGCAAGCATGTGATGAAGAAACCGTGCTTGTATCCTGGCCCTGGACTGGTTAAGGCAGATGTGGGTGGGATACTTGTAGGGAGGTGACTATGGCAGTGTTTATATTGATTTTGATTTTGCTCTTTTCCTCCCAGATTTGTCTGGTGATGTCTGACCCTTTTCTATGGGTCCTGGCCAGAAGGTGCTGTAGGCTGTGGCGGGCTTTCAGGCCTTGTTTTGGGCCAATCCCTTTTGGGTTGACTTTTGCCCACGAGGGGATGGGTAACTTCAGGTGTTTGATTTAGACATTACATTCTTTGTCTTCTGTATTGTATACTCACTGTATTCTGTATTAAAGTCCCTTTTCATTAAAGTTTTATATGTTTCGTCTTGATGCGGCGGGATGGCAGAACCCACTTAGAGTAGGCAGGTTTGGGGCTTCAGGGGTGCCCCTCTCTCTCTGTCCTGTAACACTTTCACCTTTTCTGTTCTCTGATTCAGTGACCATACACACTTCCATGCTCTTTCTAGAACATATCAGATAGGATTATTCTTGGGGTCTTAGGCCTCTCCTTAGGCCACTCTACCTTCCCACAAATATTTGCATCTCCAGATACTTATCTAGCTCTCTGCCTCATTTTCATTAAGTCTTTCACCTGAGGCTTTCCCCAATCACTCTAAAATTATAGTCTCCGTACATCCCCTAAACAGCATTCCTTATTTCCCTGCTCTTGTTTTATCCACAGTGCGTATAACAGAATTCATAAGTCATAAAAGTAAGTGTATAATTATAAGTTAATCAGTGCAGAAAAGAAAAAATAAAGTGAGTTTATTACATGGGAGATTGGTATTGGTTGGGCTAACAGGAAGGCCTAACATAAGCAGGCAGCAAATGCATGAGTTGAAATTAATGGGGAAAAGGGGATTTCATTCAGAGGAAACAGCTTATGGAAAGGTCCTGTATATAGGAGGAATGAAATATAAAGTTCCAACAACTGAGGAAGGCCAACATGATATTATTCAAGGAAGCCTGGGGGTGAACTAGGTCATCCAGAGCACTGATCACTATCTGCATTAGAATAAGTAGAGTAAGTTTAAACAACTCTTTCCATTACTAATCTAAATGAAGAATTAAGGGCTAACACCTCTTTAAAAATTTCATTCTGAACAAAGACAAGTACCAGATGGTTTTGGTTTCAAGTGGAATAAAAAGGAGAAAAAGAAATGATCAGACAAAACCCTTGACATCTGACTGCAAAACTGAGCAACCAGAGGGGAGAGTGGCAAGTAGGGAGCTGGAGGGAGGTCAGTGGAACATGGTGGAGGATTTTTAGAACTTTGGTGGTGGTATTGTAACTGGGTGGTGCCCCTGTCTCCCTGCCCTGTAACAGTATGAAAACATATGGTATGCAAACACATTTATAGAGGTTTTAACTATTTATAAATATGTATACAAATATAATGATGTAAACTAACTTTACCTCAATAATTTTTTCCATCCTGAGTAAATAGTGTATAGAAATGGGTGGGAAACCAGAGTTATAATTAATAGCAGATGGCCTTTTCAATATCCTTGAACTTGAAATACAGCCTAAGCACCACTGTCTGCCCAGGGCTGGAAGTTGGAATTGCTCCCTTTGGTTTATTTGTGTGGGAGATTGTTCAATTTTTTAAATGGATTTTTTTTTTTTTTGCATACAATGAAGAATCAAAGACCTCCCTCACATGGAAAATTGCCCTCGCTCTCCATGAACATTTCGGGATTTAATATGGGATGTCAGATGGTTTTAGTTGACGAGGTGGCGGCCCCAGCTGAAAAAGCCTATGTGTGTGTTTATTCTCAGATGCCTTATATAAGTTTAGGAAGACGGGAGATTTTTTGCCTTCTCTTAAGGAAAGATTGAAAGCTTCTATAAAAATATTTCCTTTCATTCTTCCTCCTCCACCTCTTCCCCATCTCACTCCTCCATTCTGCCCCTTCTTTCCCTTCTACTTTTTGCCATCAACCACTCTCTTGGAATTATGCCAAAGTCAAGAAAAGGAGAGCCACACGCAGTCTTACTGGTCCCCTGACTGTTGTCCTATGTTCTCACCAATAAAAGTTGGCAGAAGGTCAAACGCTTTGGATGAAGATAAGGTAGTGGCTTGGCTTCTGGATTAGAAGCCAGGAGGGTAGACAGCTGAAAATAGGCCCTAGGGCGACGGGCTGTGTGTTGAGGGATTGCCAGCTCTAGCCTGTTTTGTAAATCCCTGTTCCAGAAGCATCTTTTTCCCATAGGGGAAGCAGACTCCCTTCTTTGGACTCTGCGGGGAGGTGGAAACAGACCCACGGTGAGGGGCTCAACTCTTGAGACCAATAACTCGGGGACAGGCGCAGGTTCTGGCGGAAAGTTGGCAGCCAGGGCCCCCGACGCCTGCCTTCCTCCTAGACTCTCCACGCCTTTCTGGGCTACACGGCGGAGGGGGGGGTGTTGGGGGGGGGGGGAACTGGCCTTGTGTTTTGGAACAGCTGCAGCCGGCGCTGGGCCCGCCTGGAATGCGGGAACAGGCTGCGCACCAGGACTTTTATGGAAACTTGCTGCTGGAGCCCGCGGCGGCTGCAGCCAGAGGGCTCCCAGCGGCTGGAGCGGCAGCGACTGCGGTCAGAGCACCCAGAGCCCTGCGCACGCCGGGAGCAGGACACGCGCTGTCTCTCCGCCTGCAACTAGGACGTCCCTTTGTCCCAGACTTCTGGAGGGTGAGACGAGGTGGGGGAGGCAGTGACAGGGGCGTCGGGTCCCCCTGCGGCGGTAGGGGCTGTGGGGAGAGGCTCCCGGTGCCGAGGCTCCTGACGCGCGGCCGCGGGGCCGTAGAGCGCAACCTTCCCGCGGGGACCCCGCGCAGGTCCCAGGCTGGAGCCCATCGGTCGTTGGAGCCAGTCTTGCGGGCTCGGAGGAGTGCGGACAGGCGTCTGCCTCTCTGTGCGTTAACCGGCCTCCAGCCTCAGGGTGCCATTTCTTTGCCGCGCTCCCCTCCGCTTGCTTCTTGCGCGCTGAGTTTGGGGTGCTTGCTCTACACCTGCAAAGAGAAAGCCCTTCGTGAGCGAAGCAGATGCCAGTCCTTTGGCTCTTTCCTTGGGGTCCGGGCGGATAAAGTTCGGTATTGCCGCCCACGTGCCTAGCGCGGTCACTGGCTCGGCCAACAGAGCCAGTTATTTTTAAGAGAAATCATGCCTGACCTGTCCCTGTGGAGGCTGGGGTGCGAACCATGCCTTAACCGCCGATTAGCCCCCACCCCCTAAATCTGTTTTCCTGATTCTGTCCGAGATAGGGTGTTGGAGATTGTGCAGCTATAGCTGGAAATTGGAGTGAATAATGTAGTCACCCCTTGAGACCTCCCTGATTACATGTTTTTTGAAAACGCCAAGCCATTCCAATCATTCTTGTTAATGGAAAGGTTCTACAAAGACTACAAATTTATTATTGGCATTTGTGAAGAAAATAACGAAGTTTAGAGTGTAGTTGATTATTGCAGTGGTTTCGAGATCTTCATTTTATATTTAGGAAATGTCCTGAACATGAAAATAGTGACGGGGCGGGGGGGGGGGGGGGGGGGAGCGGGAGAAAGGGAGAACGTGAACCAGGTAAAAATAGCATAAGGATGTGTCCTAACAAAATTTATGTCCTGGGGAAAGTAGAAAAAAGAAAGAAACGGTAATAAGTTATTTTCATGAACAAAGCAGGGGGAGCAAAATCAATCAGTTAAATTTTGTTAGTGAACTCATGTAACGGGTCCATTGGTCTGCGAGTCACTGCATAACTATGTGTTGGGTAGTATGATTAAATAAACATTATTAAGAGAACCACATTATTTTTTTCTCCTAATCACTTTCCAGATTAAATTGCCAATGTGTGTTCAGAATATGTATAAGTAACAGATATTCTTTTGAGGTTTCAAATATAAGTATGGTAAAGTGGAAAACGCATAATTAAATTGTTTTGGGAGAGGTATATTAAGCATAAATGAACTTTGATTATTCAATGAAGTTGATTCTTCTTCACAGCTATTAATATTTATTTTTGAAGATATTTTTATATTTTGTGGAATAATTGAAAGAAAAATTGTGTGATTTTTGCAATTATCTTCAGTAATATCCAAAGAGCTTAAGCAAAACCCCCCAAATTTCTGTAACCCTAGTTTTTCTCAATAATGCAATTCAGTTTTAATAGGAGATTCACACTTTTGAATCCATTTTACATTGAAATGTAGTGAAGAACAGTTTTTCCTGCTCACCTTGAAATGGAATCTGTGCTATTTTTGAAAATTTGATATGTAAGACCCATCATTGTCAAAATGTATGTCATCTTCAGTTGACTATATTTAGCATCACTGAAGGAATGTATTATCTAGGTTTTGAACAGTATTTTTCCCCTGAAATTACACCTGAAGTATTTAGGTTAGCGTTTCCTTTGTGAACAGAATAAAAACTGAATGTGTGCATTTGGGGATTTAGATTGGCATGAAGTAGCATATTTCATTTAGGAAAAAATAAAACCTACTATTACCACTGAAGTATCCTAAAGGCAACTGAAATTGTTATTTAAATAAAAATACATGTCTAAAAGAATACAATAAATGTAAAGAAGTATGTCACTGATGGGCAAATGGCTAGACATTTTTACAGAAGAGGGAACTCATAACATTTTGTAGTATTGACTACACACACACAATAAACATTGGTAGTACACTTTATAATTTAGAGGGAAAATTATCTACAACATTCTTACGAATTTCACATATTTCTGTTTTTACCTAATCAATCTGGTGTCTACATCACCTGTGTAGTTTCTTTTATGTTCCCTTTTTTCTGGTTTTATAATTGCAAAATTACCTATTATTTAATATATATATTCTATTTTTTTGTAATTGAGCACATATTCAACACATAATTTGGCTTGACAAATGGTCATATATTTTAATATCTAGAATGGATTTTTTTAATTTTTTACTTATTTTTGTGTAGAAGAACTGGGGTGCAGGCCAGAAGTATGGAGAATGAGAGGATTCACCAGAGACAGAGTAAGGAAGAGAACAGGCAGATCTACTGAAATACGCTGCCTAGGGGAGCAGCAAGACAGGAGAGGTCTACTATGCAATATTTGGGTTAGCTCCCTGGCTGGAATCTGGGATCAAACTCAGTCCATTGTGAGAGCATTGAGACTTACCTCGTAGGCCACCAAGGAGCACCTAGGATTGGTGAATTTTTAACCCATTTTTATTTAACTTTTTCTAGGATTTGTTTTTACTAGAAAGTTATTAAACCATGTTATGTTTATGGCTAAAAAATATGAAAAATGGAAATGAGGCTCTCAAAAGTGGAATGGAGCTCTTTTGAAAAGAAGATCTGGGCAAAACTGGATCTACATTTCAACATAATAATCATTCAAACTAATGAGTGGCTGCTCTCTTGGACAACACATTTTTCTTTGGACATCTCCACCATTCCCTATTACTTTACTAGATTCATCACTCATTTTTATTGTCTATTTCATGGCATATAACTTATATTATATTTTCATTACCTACACGTAGACACTTGAAAATAAAGTCCCCTTATGTAAGTATTAGGACAAGCTGTGGCCATGATATGATGGTAAGTCCTCTGACTTGAAGGAACCTAGACTTTAAATATTGTAGGTAGATTTTGTTTGCCAATCCTTGTGTTAAATAATATTATCTTGGGAGTAAGAAGATGTTAACTTTAGTTGACACAAATTGCTAGTGTCGATCTGAGCTGGAAGGGATCATGTATTGCTAACTAAACAAATAAAATTTTTTTATTGGTGAGATTTTGGAAAGCATAGGGAAGATATTTTAGACAGTTTTACTAGGATCTTTTAAGTAATACTACCCATCTAAGAAATATTTAGGAGAGTTTGTGCAACCCCTTAGAGCTTAGCCTTAAAGAAGAGTTGACTTGTGTTTTACCTCCCTACCCCACTCATTTGTTTGGAGGCAAGGCCTGGGATTTCTCATCCCAGCCCTGGTCTTCACTGAAAGACTATATTCCTCTTGTGGAGAGGGTGAGGAGGCTTCCAGAGATGACCACATCTATTTGCTCAGAAGCTAATTTCCTGAAGCCCTAAGTTTCTGGTTTTTCATGATATCTAGCTTGATATTTTATAGTCTGTAATTTCATTCATTCATTTATGCATCCTCATCATTAGTGTGCCTTTTGGAGAGATAAATTATCAGTTTCATTTGGGCCAGTTTGGGGTCAGAGAGTTTTCCTGTTATCTCTTGTCATTCATCCACTTAAGCAAATACTTGAATATAAATTTAGCCTGTCCTGTGTCCCAGTTATTGGTGAGACCCTAAGGATAAAGAGCAGAATAGAGCAGAATTCTTTTCTTTCAGAGGCTCATAGACTGGTTAATAGACTTTCAAAATTCTTACATGCAGTCATCTGAATGCAAGACATTATGTATCATTTCTTGATTGAATTCTTGATTGAATTCAAGGCAGATTAAAAATAAGATCTTGATTATCAGCAAGGATTCGTATATTGGTAGGGAAAAAATCAAATTTCAAACAGATTAAATTATAAATAGGATTTAATTTATAATTTTATATTGTGATGAGATTTATGACTGGCTTTGTAATCTAATTTTTCAAGTACCAGATAATAGCCTCATTAATCAAATATAATAGTTACATTATTGTTAAGTTTATCTTCCTTGTACAAGTAAAAAATCATAAAAACTTAGGTTCACATTTTATGAAGCTCAAAATGATGTTGCTGCTTGTACAAAAGAGGTAGGTTTTATTATTTACCTAATATATAGTTAAGTTTTTCTGTTTCAATCTTCTTAAAAGTTGAGGCAGAGAATTTACTTGAGTTAATGAAGTATAGATTTAAAACTGTCCCTGTCTTGATAATTCTGTTCTTGAGAAAGGAGATAATATATTAATGCAATGAAAGTTATTGTGAATGATAGAATATAACTTAAAATTATTTTGATTGCTGCATTATTTGCTATTCTTGAAATATTTAAATGTATATCTATAAAAATCAAGGGAAATTAATTGAATTTGGAAAATCAAACACAGTTCCAGTGAAATTCTAGAACAGATAAGTTAGCTTGCATATTTTCAGGCAGATCTATTGTACTGATCATTGTATTCTAGTATGAGACTTACATATTTTTTCACAGCTTTAACTTTGTGATAGTCAACCCAGAAGTTATAACAGCCCAAAAGTATAGTCTGTTCATAAAATATATTTTATCAGGCCATTAGTCATTTTCAAAACCTTCTTGAAACTTCTCACTAGCTAGCGTGCCAGCTGATACTAATGTTAGAATGATAATTAGTCATATTGTATGTATTGTCTCTGTACATTTTTATATGAAATGTTTTATACACTTAGGTAAAAATGACAAATGATAGCATGAAATGAGTAGTTACTGAAAACTCAAAAAAACTGGAGTCTTTGCTTGTTATGCTACTGAACAACTTACAGCCTTGAATAATCACTGAATCTCTTTGTGCCTCCCCTTTGTTTCATATGTGAAATGAAGGAATTGGACTAAGTTTTTAAAAATGATTTATTTATGCACACAGAACTGGGGTACAGGCCAGAGGTGCAGGGGCAGTGAGAAGGTTCACCAGAGACAGAGTGGGAAGCAGACTAGGCAGATCGACGAGTACACTGCTAAGGGGAGCAGCAGACCATCAGGAGAGGTCTACCATGCCATG